GGTAGTGCTCGTGGCACTGCCCTCCAGCCTCTCCAGCACCCGGTGGCTGAGGAGGTGTGAAAGAGGCTGTACATGCTCTTGCAGGGGACATCATTTAATACATTCTGGCTTGCTATGATAATCTTTAACTTGGGGCAGCTGGACAAGCATTTACCTCTTCATTTTCTTAGATATAAATGCTATCTCGCTGCAGTTTCATTTTACAATATGGTAATATGCTATCCAGGAAAGTCTTGCTACATGTTAATTTATCCAGTAGGCAAATTCCTTTTGGCTAATAAAAGTGCTTGCACAGGAAGCTCAAAACCCAGCAGCAATTAATTATTGACAAAGCATGTGAATTAGAGATAAAAGAAAAGTCATTCTTTCTCACACACAAGATAGTAAATAAATTTAATTATTGTACTAGAAGCAAGGGATCTTATTCTGTATTAAGTTTTATTAGCTGAGACATTTAAAAGCATGTCATCATAACAAAAAGGTCTTGTGTAATCCTAACTGCACCACTCTGGTACAAGGCTCTGAAGTGAATAGGCTTAATTGAGCAAATGGAAGCAGATGGCTTGCTGAACAGACAGGTATTGTACAGGTTTATTGTCAATTAACTTTTGTCTACATATGCCTATGGCGAATTGATTGTTTAATGTGTTACCAAGGCTGATTTAACACTTAAGGTGCCCACCATGTCCAGGGTCCGAGAAGGAACAAAGCCAGAAGTGCTTTGGTCCCCGGGGCCCGCAGATGTGGCAGCATCCCTCCTCCTGAACGTCCCGCCAACATCTGCATGGGGCAGGAGGGATGCCGAGGTGTCCGCCCATGCCTGGCCCCTTGCTAACCACCCCTCCTCTGCTTCTGCACAGGAACGTGATGCCCAAGACGCTGGACGGCCAGATCACCATGGAGAAGACCCCCAGCTACTTTGTGACCAATGAGGCCCCCAGGCGCATTCACTCCATGGCCAAGGACACGAAGCTGATCGTGGTGGTGAGGAACCCGGTCACCCGGGCCATCTCGGACTACACGCAGACACTCTCCAAGAAGCCGGAGATCCCCACCTTCGAGGTGCTGGCCTTCAAGAACCGGACCCTGGGGCTGATTGACGCCTCCTGGAGCGCGATCCGCATCGGGATCTACGCCCTGCACTTGGAGAACTGGCTCCAGTACTTCCCCCTCTCCCAAATCCTTTTTGTCAGCGGCGAGAGGCTCATCACTGACCCAGCCGGGGAAATGGCCAAGGTACAGGACTTCTTAGGCCTCAAGAGGATTGTGACAGAGAAACATTTTTATTTTAATAAAACCAAGGGGTTCCCCTGTCTAAAGAAGCCAGAGGACAGCAGTGCTCCCCGGTGCTTGGGCAAGTCCAAGGGTCGAACTCACCCCAAAATAGACCCGGACGTCATCCACAGACTGAGGAAGTTTTACAAACCCTTCAATGTCATGTTTTACCAAATGACGGGCCAAGATTTCCAGTGGGAGCAGGAAGAAAGTGATAAGTAGAACCATGAAATCAGGAAAAAAGCTCTTTTCTTTTGAGATGCGAATCATCGTTAGAGACCGAAAACTCACTCGGGGCTAGAGGCTCAGCCTTGTGAGCGCAAGACTTGGGCTGTCAGGGTTTGCAGCCAAAGCTGCCCCCTGTTTCCAGCTCTGAAACCTTAGTGGCATGTCACCTCGGGTTGCACTTGCGCTCTCCCCCCGTGACATTGAGGGATCGGAGCGGGGGGAGGAGGCGGAGGCAGAGGGAGCGGGGCTCCTCGGGGTGATAGGATGCTTCGTGTCGACATTTCACTGCTGGTGTCCCCCTCGCAGCCAGGCAGGCAGGACCAGCACCTCCTGCCACAGCTAGCTGAGCAGGAAGGTGGCTCACAAAACCCAGCAGCACTGGGACAAACCCATAGATTTGATTTCTCCTGCCCTGGCTTTTAGTTTTGCCCAAACAGCAGCATCAGATCTGGTAAATTCAGGACACGTGCATTCGCATGCACACTGGTATTTGTGTGTGGAAGGAATAAAGCCAGTTATGCTGCAAAGGAACTATGTACAGAAACTTCATTTGCACCAGACGTTTCAATTACTTGTTGCACTAAAACTAGTATTTACCAAGTGCCACAAAACACCTGGGCCCGATTCTCCTCCAACGGACGGGTATGACACCACTGTTGGAAGAGAGTCGTTCCTGCTTTGCTGGGATGCTCAGTGAGATCAGGACCAGGGCCTCCCCCCGGCCCCCCGCTTC